AGTTTCATACGAAGGATATCAAGATCAATAGGCATGATGAAAAAAAGTAGAAACCCTAAGAAAGAGTAAAAGTTTTTGCTTTTAATAAGATTGAAGAAAAAGGAAAACAGAACTGACCTCAAGAAGATTGAAGGATTCAAAGGAAGCTTCAAGAAGATGAAAAATGAGTAGCTCTTGCAGAAATTCGCCGAAGAAAATTTAACTTGCCTTGCAATAGAGATGAACAACGATTTGATTAACAGAGAGATAGGGTAGAGACAGTAAAAAAAATTAAAAGTACATCTTTGAGGGTTATAAAGGCAAAGTGGGCCCGAGGACCGAGACGTCGGGAAAACGAGAAGATTTCGAATTTCAAGGCATTGGTTCCAGATCCAACCATTCGTTTTTCCATGAGATCTCCTTGAGCCGTCAAATTATGATTAGCAGTCATCGATAATTACTCCCAAATTTATTAGGGAGTAATTATGGGGGCAATTGAGGATACCAAAGGAGACATGGGCCGGATATGATCCGGATATGACCCGCGAAAGGAGCATCGGATCAATCAATTGGTTTCAGCCCACATAGAGGCACTGCAGAATGGGCCAAACCTCTGAGATCTACCCAACAAAGTCAGGCCCATTAGGAAGGAAGCCCGAAGCTGGGAGCCCAGCATAAGAAATCAGTTATGACATCCCAATAATGCTTATAATTGCCTATAAATAGACAAGAGTGGTAAAAAAAAAAAGGAATAATGGTTAAAATGTAATGAAACTCTAAAGAAATTTAGAGATATATTTTCTTGCATTTACACACACAGAGAGCCTTGGAAGGATCAGAGGATGGCCAAAAAAATAGTGGGCTAAAGCTAATTACGATCGCTCGTCAACCCCTAACAAGCGATCGTCGGACATTGCCCGCGCGCACCTGCTCGCGCTGTGGCACCTCAGCATGCCGGATGAGCGCTCATCCTGCTTAGGCAGGCAATCGTCCCAGCGCAGAAAATGGGCCTTTTTGCCCCCGGAACTTGTTTTGACGCCTCCTTTAGGTCGATTTGACCTACAGTAACATGTCCCAACTCATGACAATCAAAATATACATCTCATAATCCTAATCACCAATAAAAATCATTCAAAATAGGCCATTTCCATCTCATTCATCCAAAGATAACAACATAGTTCATTATACGTTTAATGGCCACTACAAAGACTTGAGATTACATCAAAATGCTATACAAGGAACATGGTTAGGATTACAAGGCCACAAGTTACAAGCCTATACATGTCGTGCTAAGGCTTTACAAAGATAGGGTTTTAATTATAAAAGATATCAAAAAGAATCCCCAAGTCCCATCCAAGCTTATGGGGCTGACGTCATCCGTCACTTTTTTCCCGTGACCTGAAAATAGTAATGAAGGGGTGAGCATAACAACTTAGCAGGAAGTGCCTAAAACACACCTTTTAATGACCCCATGAATCCAAACAAAGCATAGAAAATGGAAAGCAGGATCATACACATTTAAGGGGGAATAATCCAACATTTAAGTCAATTAATCCATTCTATATAATGCAATGCAAATGGGATGCCAATGCGATGCTAATGTCGCTCCCTATTTCCAAAATCTTTTTCCTTTCATCATTTTTAAACCGTTAATACAACCCGACCCTTGACAACTCCATAAAGAGTACGTACTACCGAGTTTACTTAAAAAAATTAAAAGAAATATTTAACACAACTTAGTCACAAAAATTAAAATTCAACTTCATATCAAAGTAAATGTGATCGTCTTGCATTTTGAGCTGCAAAATTATCAATTAAAGTGCTCCAATCAAGTTTCTCCAACATATATTTTTCAATAGATATCATGGTCAATCTATTCAATATTTTTTACAACATAGTCGACCATAGGTAATTAAGATCTGATCAACTTCAATTTTGAAAAAAATTTCTCAACAAATACAACTGCAGTTGGGATAGTCAATAATACGCTATATGCAATCTAAGCATTTGAAAAATAATACTCTGTAACTTAAATTTCTCTTAACATTTGTAATTCTGAAAATAATTTTGTCACATCAATAATTTTTGAGTAATGATACTTGCACCGATTTGTTGCAGTGAATTACCTAACGGAATGTTACTGATTGGTTATTTATGCACAATACATGCAAGTGTAGGTCCCACTTCTTTATTTATGCATAAATGGATCAATTAAAAGAAATAAGTTTGCCAATTCACTACAACAAATCGCATAAATAAAGAAGTGGGACTCTCCACTTACATGTATTGTGCATAAATAATTAATAAAAAACATTCGGTTAGGTAATTCAATGCAACAAATCGGTGTAAGTATCTTTACTCATAATTTTTTACTATTCCCTCCTTTCAAAAGAAAATATATATATATTATATTTAAACTCAAAAACTGGTTTATTTTATTATTATATTATTTTTAGGCTCATGCGATAAGTTCCGTTAAGCCAAGTCCAAATAATCAAAATTTTAACTCATGGATGCAGTCAATTGTCACATTTTTCAAAATAATCTTGTAAGATCTATTAAAATATGACATGGTTTCTGATATTGATGTGACAAAATTATTTTCAGAACTACAAGTGTTAAAAGAAACTTAAGTTACGGAGTATTATTTTTCAAATGCTTAGATTGCATATAGAGTATTATTGATTATCCCAACTACAGTTGTATCTGTCGAGAGAAATTTTTTAAAGTTGAAGTTGATCAGATTTTAATTACCTACGATCGACTATGTCATAAAAGAGATTGAATGGATTGACTATGACATCTATTAAAAAATATATGTTGGAGAAACTTGATTGAAGCACTTTAATTGATTTCCCTCTTTGCTTATTGTCAAAATCTCACTAAAAATTAGGGATGGCAATGGGGCGGGGATCTCATTCCCCATCCTCATTCCCTATCAAATTTTTTACCCCCATCCCCATCCCCATTTAAATTTCAACCCCCTTTCTCGTCCCCGCCCCGCCCCACCACATTAGCCCCCGTCCCCGCCCTGTCCCACCCAGCATAAATTTTTTAAAATTCCAATTCACCTTCAACAAAATCAACACAACTATAATACTTTTCAACCTAATAATTTAATAAAGCTTCAGCACAATTATAACAATTTAAAACATATCATTTCAACCTGATTAAACTTATAGCAAAACCACATATAACATTTTTTGGAATAGTCTGGAAATTTTCAACACGATCAATCAAAACAAATAACATTCTTCCAACAACGACTATGTTGCAAGAGAATAGATTTAGGGTTTCAGAAGTGAATATATTATATATATTGTTATGTAATTTAGTAATATTTTATAACATGTAAGGGCAGTTTTGTAAAAATGCACTATAAACGGGACGGGGTTATCCTCCCTCGGCCCTGCCCTGTCCCCCACTGGGGTTTCAAATACAATTCCCATCCCCTCCCCATTTACATAAATGATCCCCAAACTCGCCATAACAGGGGCGGGGACCTGCTGGGTATGGGGATTTTGCCATCCCTACTAAAAATGACTTAAAAGTGAGCTTCAAGGATGTAACAATGGTGAAATGAAAAAGGAATTAGAAGAAAGAGAGAGTGGGCCGAATGGTGAAAGAGAGAATCTCCATAATTTTGTGGCCTTTATCCCCCAAGTCCACACCACATAGGTGGTCGAAGTGGTGTTCCACTTATGACCCCAAAGTGTTCCATTTGCCTCTCACATGCCATATATATATACACTTATGGCCCAAATACATATTTAAACCTATATATACATATATAAGCACCAAATGATAGTTATGAAATGCAAGTGGGACTCAAAAAGATTACCCGATTATAAAAATTTCGGTTGCGGGATCCATACGGGCCCTTTTGGTCTAAAAATTCAAAAAATATTGAAATGTTTCAAAATACATTTATAAGAGTTCTAAACTCAAAAAAATGTCCTAAATGACTCTAGGAACCTTCATGGAATTGTAAAAAGATGCAAAAAAATAAAATAATTATGAAAAATAAAAAATACTGAAAATTACTAGTCATAGCAAAAGTTGATGTTTTTTTTTTTTTTTTTTTTTTTTTTTTTTTTTTTTAACCCTGGCAAGAAATAAGCCATACGCCATACGGCATCTACAACAAGAACATCAGTCAGAGACATATGATTAAAAACACAGTAAACACCATGCATAAAACCATCCCAAAACTAGCTAACACCTCTTATAGTCAAGATCAACAGTCTTGACAATCCAAAGAAAAGGTGCCAACTATAGAAGGAAAACCACCACGACAAAATAAAAAAAACATTGTTAGATAAAGACCCCATGACGTCAGTGGTGAACCCACTGAAAAAACCACTGGATTACCACTGGAGAGAGGACCAAACACGGCAGACCTCGGCAAAGGACGCAGATGCATCAAATCCACTCTCAGTGCAAAACTCTAAAAAGCTCCAGAAAGGAGCAGACAAACAAACCCAACTCCGGCGACCCAGCAATCATCTACCCCCAAAAAACGGCGCAGATCAAGAGATCGGGAACACAAACTCACGATGAAACGTGAGAGACGTTGCTCACAGCGAAACCTCGACGACAGCGAGAAGAAACAACAAAAAAAACGGTGTGAATCTATCCACCAAGCATACTATGTACAGCACGCCGAGATTATTAATTAGTGGGTGACAGGGATCGGCACCTCCCCACTCCCATGAAAGGGAGTGGGGAGTAAGTAGAGGGAGGAAGGTGAGGAGCGAAGGCTAGGGTAGAGAGTGGCGAGAAAAGGTGGGTAGAAAGAGAATGGAAAATTAGAGTTAAATTAGAGTTATCTAGAAAATGATGGGGTTTTCCTTGCAATTCACCCTGATAAAAAGAAAAGCACAAGTTAAATTTATTTTCAGTGTATTTTCGAGCAATGTCTTTTGAAAATATTTTGGAGGTCCAATTGGAATTTCTAATAATTTTTTAGGCCACAAATTAAATTTATCTACAAAATAATTATTTAAGAAAGTTGAGCTATGAATCTCTATGATCATTCCTCACTAATCGAGTATTCATAACCAGTGAGTCAGTGAGTCTCTGCTGCAACCATAAAACCCTAACTCGTACACTCAGACTCAGCTTCAACAACTCACCACAATGCTCTTCTCTGCAAAACTCGAAATCCTCCGAAGAACTTCAACCACCATCCCCAATCTCAGATTCCTCAAAACCCTAACAAGTGCAACGGAAAATGGACCCAAATTTACCGCCACCGCCGGCGGCGGCGGAAGAGGCATGTCGAACGACGACTACTTCGCGGCGGTGCACCACATTTCCAACATCGTCCGCCGCGACATCTTCATGGAACGCACCCTCAACAAGATGCGCCTCTCCAACATCGTCAACTCCGAACTCGTCTACCGCGTCCTCCGCAGCTGCTGCCACTCCGGTGTCGAGTCCTTCCGATTCTTAAATTGGGTTCGAACCCAATACCCAACCTACGAACCCACCACCGTCGAATTCGAGGAGCTTCTCAAAACCCTAGCTCGAACCCGCCACTGGGAAACCATGTGGAAGGTCGCTGAGCAGATGAAGAAGCAGAGCCTCCCAATCTCACCGTCAATCGTATCCTTTATCATCGAACACTATGGCAAGAACGGCCTCATAGACCAAGCTGTGGAGCTCTTCAACAAGATGAAGCATTTCAATTGCCCACAAACGACAGGTATCTATAATTCCTTGCTATTTGCTTTATGTGAAGTGAAGAATTTTCATGGTGCTTATGCGTTGATTCGGAGGATGGTGCGCAAAGGGGTTGTGCCAGATAAGAGGACCTACTCTGTTCTTGTCAATGGGTGGTGCTCGGCGGGGAAGATGAGAGAGGCACAAGAGTTCTTGGAGGAGATGAGTCGAAAGGGGTTTAATCCGCCGGTTCGAGGCCGAGACCTGTTGATTGATGGGTTGTTGAATGCGGGTTACCTTGAATCAGCGAAGGTATTGGTGAGGAAAATGACCAAGGAGGGATTTGTGCCGGATGTAGAAACCTTCAATTCTTTGGCTGAAGCTATTTGTAAATCAGGGGAGGCTGATTTTTGTATTGATCTTTACCGTGATGTATGTAAATTGGGTTTTTGTCCCAATTTGGAGACTTATAAGGTTATGATTAATGTGTCTTCGAAAGTGGGTAGGATTGATGATGCTTTTGGGATGCTTCATAGATCAATGGAAGATGGGCACAAGCCATTTCCGAGTTTGTATGCTCCGATTCTGAAGGCGCTTTGTAGGAGAGGACAGTTTGATGATGCATTTAGCTTTTTCAGTGATATGAAGGTGAAGGGACATCCACCAAACCGGCCAGTTTATACCATGCTGATGAAGATGTGTGCACGTGGAGGTAAATTTGTCGAGGCAGCGAATTATTTGGTGGAGATGACTGAATTGAATTTGCCCCCAATATCGAGAAACTTTGATATGGTTACAGATGGATTGAAGAATTGTGGGAAGCATGATCTGGCTAAGAGGATGGAGCAGTTGGAGATATCTCTCCGGGGTGCTTGATTTGGTTAAGTGTCTTCTGTAATTTATATCAGAGAGATTCAGGCAATGTGCTCCTTCAGAACAGAAAGGTGCATAATGCTGGAAAGGTAGATTCTTTTCAACTGCATTATAATTTGGAATATTAAAAATTCAACATATAATTTACATAATTATTCAAACATTTTGGTCTCGATTTGCACTCTAACTGGAGCTGCACATTGCCCTTTTCTTTATGATATCAGTTCCTTTTCCGCTCTGCCTTTATTTAAAATTGTTTTATCATTCTTATCCAATTTTCTTCATCCACAATGGAAGTACACCTGATCATTTGCATGTGAATTGGCAGGTGCTTTGAGAAAGAAACTTGGGCCAATGAAAGAGTGCCAATGAAGGGGTAAATTCAAATATAGGCTGTTTGCAAGAGTGCAATCGATGAGATGCTTCGTCTCATTTACTTGTTTAAGAAGTAATTATAAAGATGAGAATTCACATGTGGAACAGCCAAACAGGTAATGTCTGTGATTCTTCATCGTGTTATACCTTGTTATTTTGAAGCTGATCATGTAAATAATAATCATTCAAAATTTAAAATTTATTAAAACTGTTGAGGGTTAGGTTAGATACTTATCAAGTTTTTCATTTTCCATTTAATTGCGTTGGCTTATCCTCCTTCCTCTCATTTTTGCCTTTCCTCTCGAGATGTGAGAGTCTGCTTGATGTTCCTTGCGGTGTGAAGGGTTCCTTTGTGGGTATTTTGGGTCTAATTGTATTTGTATGTCAGCTCTTTTTGGTGAATAAAACCTTATTTTTGTAGACCATCAATGCATATTTATCCACTTCATATCTGTTCTGGTTAAATCTACTTCTCTTTGGCTTTTCCAAACTTCTTCAAGACCATTAATATTTTGAATTTTTTACTTGTTGGATGAAGTTGGTGATTGACCTTTTTTTTTCTCCCGGTAAGTAAGTTGGTGATTGAACTTGTTGGAGCTAGTATTATAGATTCCTTGTATGTTTGTTTATTAATGTCATTCCAACTCTTTTGCACATGCATCTCTTTTGCCAGCTTGAGCTCATCCAAGTTAACGATCTTGTAGGTCCAGTAGGTGCTTGAGCTTATCTTATGGGTCCCTTCTTTATTTTTTTAAGTGGTCATTTATATTCTTTTTGCGCATCTATGATCCATCTCTTTTGCTACCTTGAGCCTGTCAAGTTAATTATCCAAAGCGCTAATTTTCCTAGGGACTAATGGAACCCAAGTCTTTCGATCATGTAAGATTTCTGCATGAATTGCAGTTGGAGGCGTCTAATTTCCTGTAACTTGCACTGACCTTGAGATGTTGAGGTAATTATGTCCGGTGACATATATGTGATAGCTGTTAAATATTCTGTTTGCAGCATATGTATAAGAAGCAAAAGAGACTGCTAGGGGTTAGACGTTACTCATGCAAAAGGGGTGAACTTACTCATATAAATTCTAGGCCTCCTTATATACAACTGTCACTGCTTTCCTCCCAGCTTTCACTGTTGCTGCCAGTAGATGTTTCATTGGAATCTTCTTTTGAAGGGGAAAGGGCTTTGCAGTGAAGTAAGAAATGTTACCATATGTGCATGTCTGTATGTTCAAATTGTGATGGAGGAGGAGGATATTACTCCTTGGTTGCATTAATCAGGATCTGCTTGTGAAATAATTATGGGAAAAAATATTTGTCGAGCTTGACAGGTTGGGGAAATTGTTGGGACTTGAGCAGCTGTGTTAAGTTTAAGAGATGTAGGTTGGACACAGGTCTAACTATACCCCGTTCATCCTGAATCTTTTGGTTCTGGTCAATGGGTTTTGATGAACATTTAATACACAAGTTAATTTAAGGAAGCTTTAGGTAGTATGTGTCTCAGTGATAGGCTGCCTAGTTTGGTGGGACAGCTCTTGGTGTTCTTGGATTGTATTCTTATTTTGTTGAATTGGTTAGCTATGAAGTGTAAATAAAATGAAAGAAACAGAATCGTGGGTTGTGCTTAAAGTAGTAAAGAGCAAAGCTGTCGGTTATCTATTGACCTGTTTTTCAAGCAGTTATTGTTACCACCAGAGGCTGTTATTGACACCGTGGGTGAATGGACCTCATTTTTAATTGTTCATTCACCTTTGGTTGGGGTAGGCATGATCCATCAGAGTGGATCACCCTCTCCTAGAAACTGAAATCCTAATGTGCCAACAATGAGGTTGAATATGAAGTTTTGATTCTTGGCGTGTTTGGAACTCTCGTAATGGATGTCATTTGTCGTTGCTTACAAAAGACTAGCATCTAGGTTTACCTCAAGAATTAATGCACACAGGAAATATGTTTTTGGATCTTATGGCACTATCGTGTAGATATGCTGGCACCAAAACTTGGCAGCCACATCAGCAATGACGTGGACGAATCATGGAGCGACAAATATTCTTAACATGGCACCATAAGGATTGGCCATGTGAGAACGATAAGAACAAATAAAAGGGTGACACGTGGGATCGCTATAATATCGGAATATGGCTGCCAAGTTTATAAAGGAGTTACTAAGAATTAGCAATTCAGAGTTGACAAATTCAAAGAGTGTCTGCAAAGGAAATATAGTGGGCCAGAGATATTATATTAGATTAACTACTAAAGGACTAAGAAAAGGGAAATCAAGGATGAGGAATAATATGTGTCAAACAAGAAGCCCATTCTGCTTCAAACTGTTGACTCAATTCAAATTCAGAAGGAAAGAAATCAATGGAAAAGAGATTCTTTGGCAAGAAATTAGGACCAGAGAGTTGAAGAAGTATTCTGTAAAGAGGGAGAGTCTATAATATTTCCAAACTGTCCAGCACCATATCAACAACATGTCTTTCAATTATCAACTTATTTTCAATTAACAATTTCCTTTTTAGCCAATTACCTTCGCTCAAAAATTGGTGCACATGGTCGATGGATATTGCGGGTGTGCCAGAGTATATATTATTCTCAAGTGATTGAAAATCAACTATCCCTTTTGATGGTTGATTTAGGCGACTGTGTAGAAGAGGGAATATGAAGAACTTCTAACAGGTTTCTTACTGCCTTGATGCAAGGACTTCTAAAAATCAAAAGAAATTGCAATGGAAATAAAGGAATTTAAAGGACTTGAAATAAAAGAAACTGGTTGAAGGGAAGTTGCATGAAATAAAAAATTGCAACAGAATTGAAATTGTTGGAAATTAAATGAGGCAGAAAGAAAATTGCTTGTAATTTTAAAAGGCTGGAAAAGTAATCTGGAAAGGAAAAAGGCATTACTGGAATTTAAATGAACAAAAATTGACATTGGAATGGAAAGTGCAGAAAAAGAAAGTTACTGGAACTTAAATGACTTGAATGAAATTGCCATTGAAATGAAAAGACTGGAAGATGACTTTACATGATAAAAGGAAATTGATAAGATGAATTTAATCGGAAGGCATGTTATTGTTGTGGTGCTGGACAGTTTGAAAAGATTACAGGCTCTCCCTTTTTTATAGAATTCTTCTTCAACTACCTGGTCATAATTTCTTGTCAAAGAATGTCTTTTCCCTTGATTTCTTTCCTTTTGAATCTGAATTGAGTCAATAGTCTGTAGCAGAATGGGCTCCTTGCGTGACACATATTATTCCTTATCCTTGATTTCCCCTTTCTTATGCCTTTAGTTGTTAATCTAATATAATTATTCTGGCCCGTCATATTTCCTTTGCTAATAACACATCACTTCTTCTTTGAATTGGTTAACTCTCAATTGTTAATTCTTAGCAACTCCTTTATAAACTTGGCAACCATATTCCAATATTATAGGATCCCACTTGTCGCCCTTTTATTTGTTCTTATTGTTCGCACATGGTCAATCCTTATGGTGCCATGTTAAGAATTTTGATATCTGGGAAAGTTGCATCAGTTTGAATCTCGGCCGATGTAGTATCTTCACTAGATGTTGGCTGATATGATTTTGCTTCAAAGACTAATGGTCATGTTATAATTTACTTCTTCAGGAAAAGTTTCAAAGTGTATTCTCTATTCGGCGAAATGCTTTGGGTCTTGATCTGGCTAATCGTCTTTCTCTTCATGAGAAGAGCCTTCATTACCAATTGACATGCAAATAACCATGTCCTCAACTTTTTCACCATCAACACTCTCGGCCAATTTTTGTTTCTTTTCTTCCAAGTTCTGCCTTCCTCCTTTGCATTCTCCTTTTCTAAGTTCGTGTAGGAGGCTTTTTAGTGAACTTTGGATGACTGACTCCTGTCCATCTGCTGTGATTGACCAGAGGAGGTTTGACCATCCTCAATCGATGAGACTCTGTGCCTTTTTTTATCCAGACTTCTGACTGTACTAAAGGCTTTCTTTTGAAGTTTAGATGTGCACGTTGTTCTGGTAGAATTCTATAAGCCACAAATATTTCTGATCGAATGATTCTTGCTGCTCTCAGCCCATTTTCAGTGAATACTGGCCGATTTGCTCTTGCTGATGTCTGGTCATGTTGGAAGTTTAGCCGTTCATGAGCACTGCATCTTCTGGAAGACCGATGATGGCTTCTCCCATGATCGTTTTGACTTCTTCCAGAACTACAGCTTTTGGAATTTGGACAACAATCATGACTGATGAGGGCTATCTGGGCCTGCCTTAGTTGTTTTTCCAGCTCCTGTACCTTCTTATCATCTGAAACGGCTGATGAGGAACTTTTAGCAGCTTTAGGTTACCTCTTTTCATCACTATTGTCCTCTTTTTGAGGAACAAGGCTGATTACATTGCTTCTCACAATAGTAGGAAATGAATCACTATCGATCGCCATGACTTTCGGCTTCTTTTCTAGGAATTTCAAAGTGTCATCATCAATAGATTTCTGCAAAACATTTCGGAATACAAAACAATTATTAGTCGAATGATTTCATGAGTAATGATATTTGCATAATTCTTTTCCTTTCATATCACTGGCTGATGGGATATTATGCCCTTTAGGCAAAGTAATTTGCTCATCGGCAAGAAGATGGTCCAAGATCTGCTCTGTTTTGGACAGATCAAATGAATAAACTTCTCCAGTATCGGCCGTGCCTTTCTTGGCCAATACGGTTGATGGCTGAGTGCGACCTTTGGTCGATTTTGGTTTGGCCAGAGCCTCACATGCATAAGGCTTTTTAATGGAAATTTCAGCAATATTTGCCTCAAGATCCTCATAATAGTGCATAGAGTGGATTTGAAGCTCTCCACCTAACCTGATTGCCCCCCGAGTTGAAGGGTTCCCTAGGAGGTTCTGAGGAACTATCTGTGGCCGCTGTGGCTGATTTTGGTTCATCATTGCTAGCTGATGGTACACAGGTGGTTGCTGAAAAGTTGAAACAATTGGTTGCGGCTGATTCTCTACCCAAACTGGTAGCAAACTTATTGGGAGACTTGCTAACATGTTTGGTTGAAGTAGAACTACCGGCGGCCATGGCTGGGACTGCTGAGCAGTCACTATCGGCTGAACAACTTGTGATGAAATTGGCTAAGAAACCGATTCCTGATTGTTGGAACTCCCAGCTTGACTCGGCATGTTCAGAATAGCGGTTGATTGCTGAGAAATAGTTTCGTGCAAGTCATTATGACGAGCACTCATTCTACCCTTTGCTTCTACCAGTTAGGACACCTGTGCTTGAACAATTGATACCTCGGAATGCACAGCTAGTTCATCAGTAGGGCCAAGACGTTCTTCTTCTGGTTCGTCATCAGTGGCGATAGCCTTGGAATTCTTCTCTCTTGGCGGCATTGCAAATTCTTTTGACACTGGGTGGGAGTCCCACCGGGCGTGCCAAAATATGATCGCTCAAAAATTGACGCACACGGTTGATGGAATTATGCGGGTGTGCTAGAGTTTATATTAAACTCAAGTGGTTCAACATCAGCTATCCCTTTTGATGGTTGCTTCAGGTGACTGTGTAGATGAGGGAATATGAAGAACTTCTAACAGGGTTGAGGGAATAGGAAGAACTTCTAGCAGGGTTCTTACTGCCTTGATGCAAGGACTTTAAAATTCGGAATAAAGAAAACATTGCTGAAATTTAAATGATCAAAATGGAAATTGCCATTGGAATGGAAAAGTGCAGAAAAGGAGATTACTAAAATTTAAATGACTTAAAAAGGATTTGACATTGAAACTCTGGAAAGTTAATTGAAATAGTAAAAGGAAATTGACTTGAAAGAAAATTGGCTAAAAAGGAAATTGATAATTGAAAGACATGTTGTTGTTAATTGACATGGTAAAAGGAAATTGACAAGAAAGGAAATTGGCTAAAAAGGAAATTGATAATTGAAAGACACGTTGATGTGGTGCTGGACAGTTTAGAAAGATTACACTCTCCCTATTTATAGAATTCTTCTTCAACTCCCTGGTTCTAATTTCTTGCCAAAAAATCTCTTTTCCCTTGATTTCTTTCCTTTTGAATTTGAATTGAGTCAACAGTTTGTAGCAAATTAGGCTCCTTGTGTGACATATTATTCCTCATCCTTGATTCCCCTTTTCTTAGGCCTTTAGTTGTTAAAATGATATAATATCTCTGGCCCACTATACTTTGTTTGCTTACAGATTACTTCTTCTTTGAATTAGTCAACTCTCAATTGCTAATTCTTAGCAACTCCTTTATAAACTTGGCGACCATATTCCAATATTATAGTGATCCATGTGTCACCCTTTTATTTGTTCTTATCGTTCCACATGGCCAATCCTTATGGTGCCATGTTAAGAATATTTGTTGCTCCATGATTCATCTACGTCATTGCTGATGTGGCTGCTAAGTTTTGGTGCCAACAAGATTGAAGTTTGAGGTTGGTGGTGTTTAACACACTCCGTCTTCCACAAATCTCTGCTAGACTCCCTCGCCACCCTCGTCTTGGAGATTGATATACTTAAGAGATTTGCACAAGCTGAGATTTTAAAAATGATTTCTTCCTTACAATATCATTATTCTTCTTTCACCAGAAGACTATGGATTGGTAAAATCTCATTATTGACCAACTTCAGAGCACGATGTATCTTTGCCTACTGCAGAACTTAGTAGATTATTGATGTATTATGGTGTCATTTACTATTGTACCGTTCACAGCCCTATGGGGCTGATTAATGTGTATATATTCCAAAACAAGGCAATAATTCCGAAAGTGTAAGGACGCAGCCGTGCTTCAACAAAAGCTTCTCCGAATGCCAATAATTCCAAAATAAGGTTGGTAACTTTGTACACACTCTTTTTGATGCCACTATCATTAATAAGCAAGCTCCTAGTTTCTCTTCCACTAGGATTAACTGTTTTGTCGAGGTTTTATTAGTCAACCTCATTGTTGTTCACGCACAAAATGATAAAAATTCTTTAGTAAGCCCACAAGCTTGAACATCAAAGCAGCTTTATGTTATACAATCGGAAGCACATACATGTCTAAAAGGTTGTCATAGTAGTGTGTGACATGCTTCAGATGCGGACATCGGAAGCACACACATGTCTAAAGGGTTGTCATAGTAGTGTGTGACACGTGTAGTTGCTTCTTGTTGCCATCTTCAGGTTGATTCTTCCAAGCCATGACCTTTGATAGTGAGTCCTAAGGTAATCAGACCATCTAAAATAAGCCTCAATGCATAACAATCTTCTTTATTTTTCCATTTTTCCCTCCTTCAAGTCCTTTTCATTTTCCTTGCAATTCGTTGGGGAATAATTAGTGACAAACGGTCTTGTCACAGGAGGGATTATGCTTAAAAGTGAGGTTTGTGAAGGAAAAGGCATCACATTATATTTTAGTATTTTATAATGGTGTGGTTTGCTTGAGAATGAATAGACCACAACCAAGAATTTATCAATGCAATGATATACGTACCTTGCAACAAGTTTTGTCGACTTAGGGTCTAACATTGTATTCTTCTGAAAATATTTTATTTAAAGGGCCTATTAGTTTATGGAAAACATATTTAATATCTGAAATTTGTTGTTGATGGTGCATAATACATTCATTTGGGTATTGCTTGCAATTGTCATGTTGTGGATTGCTAACTTTACATAAATGATTTTGTTTAAGTCTTCAGCCATGCTAGTTAAATCAGTTCCTTAAATTCGAACGAAACTGTCTTGTCAATGAGTTGCCAAATTCAATTACTAGTTCTTCCCTAAGTGAAGTTTGTTGAGTTCTACAATTGATCATTTTTGTCATATTGTTTTATCTCATAAGATGCTTGTTTTAGCGAAGTTGATTCTTCTGCTTCAATGATTAAGCACTCACAGGGAGTGTTCTTTTCCATGAAGGCCATGATTCAAGATTAGGACCTAGAGTTTCCTTGTTAATTCAGGAAATGCCTTCCTAATGTACACTATATTTTTCAGTGAATTCAATATTGTATTGCCTTGAGATCTTGTTTTGGTAAAATTACTTCTTTTAGCAGCAGTGAATCCTCTCGTTCTTTAATATCCTCGCAAAGATTTGTATACTAAATCCTAGAATCCAAGGTGATTAAACAATGTTGATTATGTAATCTTAATAGATAATGCTTAAAGAGTATTAGTTCCATATGAAAAAGTTCCTATTATCAACGAAAAAAGAAAGTAGCTGCAGCTTTAGAAGCACTTATACACTTTGTCATCTATAATTTATTGAAAAGACTTTTACCCAATACATGCTAGATAATTGAAAACGTCTCACTTTTTGAACACTAATTTTCCCAAGAAAAGAAAAGGAAAGAGAGAGAAATAGAGGGAGAGCCAAGGAATGGCCTTCATACACTCGTTTAGGTATTAGAAACTTCTTTGACTTCTATGCCCTGTCATTTACCTCATCAAATAGCCACTAGTATTTATTACTAAATTGATTAACTCATACTTCTTAAATTCTTATACATATATATATGTATATATATATATCACACCATTGAATCCAAAGCCAAAATGGTGCTGAGATTCATGGGATTCATGTACTCGCTGGAGCCGGTCATGATCATTTCCACAATCAGTCTGTTTGCCTTTTCAGATGGATGGAATGGATCCCAAAATGCATACAAGTCTCTGTTAGGGCACAAGTTGGACATTGGAGTACAAAGTCCTAGCCCATTGTATGGTCCTTGTCCACAACATGCTATCTTTGATGTCACAAATCCTGTACAACAAATTATATCAGGTCAGCACATCTTGGTTATCAATGAATTGTAATCCTCTCGAGATAGCTAGTGCTTCGGATGATAGAAATTGTATTCTGTATGCTCTACTTACAATTTCAGGTGCTATTGGAACTCGTCATCCCCTTATTTTCCAAGTAAAGCCACGGCTGTCTAGAGCACTTTATTTAAATTATATACTGAACTAAACAATTCCATCCTCTTGTTATATTGAATAATTTGCTGTTTATGTGTACATTTAGGTAATATTTATTAAAGAAAAAACTAGTAGGCTTTAAGGGACAAAATATTGGACGTCTAAGAAAAAATACATTCACAGTGAGTGTGACCGACTGAAGTCCAACTACAGAGAAGGATGTGATTAAGACAAGAAAGTTGAATTGAATACATTTGAGAGAGGCAAAGTAATTAAAATCGAAGATAAAATGAGAGGAAAGATTAAGATGACTTGATCATGTGAAACAAAAACTAATAACTCCACCTATTAGAAGTATTTGTGGTGCGGTAAAAAGATCAAAAGTAACTAACATGAGTTGAAAACTTGAGATAGTTAAGATGGATATGATAGTATATGGTATAACTGTGTTGTGACTTTAGATTGGAATGAGAAAACAAGATTCACATAATTGACCTCAAATAGTTTCAAAAAGGCAATTAGAAGACTAATTCATACCATATGCTTGGGGATCATTGATGAAATTCGTATGCATCTGTCTTGTATTTGCAGCAACAAAGACGTCGCTGCCTACTTCAGTATTGAGTTCCATTATCATCTGTTCAAGTTGTGGGTTGAAGAGGATCGAAGCTTCTTGCAGTTCTGCTGCACATTCGCCAGCTCTGCTGCGTGTCGCTAATTCTGCTGGTACGCAACCCAGTGGTCCTGTTCCTGTCACCAGAACTCTACGAGCTCCCATTTCATACAGCGTCTGCAAGTGATGATATTTAAGGCACTTGAAGATGAGGGAAGGTGAGTTTATTATATATGTATATATGTTTCTTTGCCTGTGGAGTTGTGAGTGTGTGTGTGAGAGAGCATTTTTCTATTAGACATGCAAGGTAACCAAGAGTTTATTAAAGTGAAGAAGCAAAGTGCCTCAGCAACATGTCTTTTGTTTCATATCACTCAATGCTTTCTTCAATATTGACATGCGCAATGTGTTTTTGTCTTAAATTTGGGGAATATAATTTATTACAGAAAATAACTGATACAACCAGAATCAGAAGACAATTAAAACTTTCAACAAGAACAGTAAATAGTTAATAAGATAATCAACAAACTCTCATAACTTCAGAGGAAATGCAATCTCTTGATCAGTACCTAACAATTCAGAGGATAGGCAATAATAATAATAATAAAGTACTGTTTGAGCAAAATGGCCAAAAAAGTGAAATAAGAAAACTTTTGGATAATTACCGATAAAATTTTCCGGTACTCGGAGATTAGAAAGGGGACGTATTCGGGGAGAGGATATTGTCTAGACCTTGCAGAGAAGGGCACCAAATAGTAGTTGTTGACGAAGTCATTGCCACCGAGAGTAATGAGTACCAGAGCCTGGTTTACAAGGTTTTGAGTCTCCACTGGTCCTATCATAGCACTCACTCTTTGTTGGTATTGTTGGAAATACTCCAATTGTCTGGAGATCCGAATTATGTTCACCTGAAAATGTAGCATTTGGGAGTTAATTTTGTAAGTTATAAAGTTGCCCCTCTTAAGTTTGAGAGGTTCGTTGCGCTTGAGAGTTCCTTTTTGTTGCCGTATTTGAATAAATTTCTTCAGATTCTAATTTTAAGACGTCAATTTGGTACTCCCAAACATAGCTTTAACGGTTTAGTTTTGTAAATCTTTTGTATTTCTTATTTTTGGTTAATAAAACTATAATTTCCTCTCGAAAAGATATAATTGTTTGATCAATTTATGAGCATGAAAGAAACACTAATCAATGGCGGATTTGACAAAATAACGAGTACAACAAAAAACATTTTAAATCTAGTACTGGAAAACTTATTAATGTTGCATGGAAATTGTTGTATATTTGAAGTTATCACATAATAGAAGAAAAAAAATGAAAGAAAGAAAGAAGATTCGCATGAACCTTCTCATATGGCTCACTTTTTTCTTTTTCTTTTCTTATATATATATATATATATATTTATATATATATATTTATATATCTGTCGTGATCAGTTTTATATGGCCAGGTTTGTTGATCTGTGTGATAGGAGGTATTAATTTCTCAAGTTGTACAGTGGACTTACAAACTGTATTCCAGTGTCATTAAGGATTCCAACCCCTGCAGAAGCAAAATTGGCGCCAACTAGTAGTTTTTCTCCACGGAGCTCTGGACTCATGTAGGGCAATGTAGGCTCTGAACCAAGAGATTCACCTGATAATATCAACATTGATCAGTCATACAAATCCATACATACACTATTCAGCGTATGCGTATGTCGGATCTCTGAAATCTAAATGGGCCACGTAAGATTCGACAATTAGTTCTACATCACTCTCTCATACAAATGACACTAATCTTACAATGTAGTGTCATTTTGGATAAGATTCAAGAAAGAAAATTGATTCCCCATTATTATGCAAATCTGGGATTTAAACCAAAAAAAAAAAAAAATGTCTATTCCTTGAACATACTCGTCCGTGTATATATATATATATATATTGTTTTGGTAATGAAAAACTCTTTCAACTTGGTAATCTCCGTGTAAGAGGGTGCAAGGTAAATCTCCGATAAGCAAGATAGTAGAGAAAAGTAAATTATTGATAAATAAAAGAGACTAGGACTTCGAAACTCAACTGATAAGGTCAGGGATGTTGAGACCATTAGAGAAGCGTCCGGTCGGCCGGTGGGTCGGATAATCGATTCCGTAAGGCGGGGAGTCGGCACGGGCAGTGGTGGCCAGGTAGTTGTTGTTGCCGTTATCGACTAGTGAGTCTCCGAACACGAAGAATGCACGAGCCTCAGCCTGAGGAGCAACACTTGCAAGGGCCAAGATGAGCCCCAAAATCATCCCAAGACAAGGAAATGATGGGATAGCCATGACCAATATGATTGTTGCTTCTTGCTATAGATAGAGAAGCTCGTGTTCTTTCGGAAGCAAGAGATGGTGGCTTTATATATCTGTATGTGTGTTGTTTGTTGTGTTTAATTGTGTGTGAATGGTGTGCTTTTAAGTAAATCAAAACCTCCAAAAACTGCAGCTTGCTTTTCAGAGGTAGTTCCATTGTATTCAATTGGACAGTTGTTATCCAACCTAGATACAAAAGGATGCAAAAAAATATATATTGCATTGCATGTGATTCAACACGCAAAGGCATTATTGCTACTTCTTTGATCATTAAGTTACAGGCGGGGTTAAATTACTACTTTTTCAGTTTGACTTTCCACTTCCATAAAGTGAAAACAAGAGTGAATTCGAGAGCTACAATTACAAATAGTGAAAATAAGAGCGAGAATGTGAGAGCAGGGGTGCTCGGAGTGTAAGAGTGCCATCTGTTGAAAATAATTATGTGACTTAATGTGAAACCCTCTAGGCTTTATTGATCAACTAAATTGTATGTAATGTGTGTGTGAGAGCGCGATTAATTAAGGTGTTAAATTTTTTTGACTTATATATCTAATTTACCCTTCTCATTAACTTGTCTATATGTTGTACTCTTAATACATTAAAAAAAAAAATACCCTTTAAAAAAATAATAATAATAAACAAACCTAAATCTTTTGTATTTTTGTGTAAAGTGGCCATTGAGCCCTCTTTCTCATTCTTTTCACACCTAGCATCTGTTGAGAAGGATTGTGTAACTTAAAGTGGAACCCTCTAGGCTTTATTGATCAACTAAATTGTATGTAGTGTGTGTGAGAGAGCGCGATTAATTAAGGGGTTAATTTTTTTTTGACTTATATATCTAATTTACCCTTCTCATTAACTTGTCTATATGTTGTACTCTTAATACATAAAAAATACCCTTTTAAAAAAATAATAATAATAAACAAACCTAAATCTTTTGTATTTTTGCGTAAAGTGGCCATTGAGCCCTCTTTCTCATTCTTGACACACCTACCATTAAAAAGGAGAAAAATCAAGAATAATACTATCAAGAGATGACTCTCGTGACAAGAGTGATGAACTTTTCATATTTTATTATTGAATTAAAATTTATATTAAATAGTTTATTTGACATTTCAAAAATTTTAAAAAATTGTTTCAATACAATGGCTAAATATGAATAGTTCATCACTTTGGTCACGAAGATTTTCTTGATAGCATTACTCAAAATCCAAAAAGCCTGTTAATGTTATATATTCAAAGAAAAATAATTTTCAAAGTGAATAGTCAAGCCCAGGCTAACTGAATCATTTGTAACCTTCAGATGTATTCAAGTACGTTTCTAAGACATCTGATGGTAGCAAATATTTAAGTGAAGCGTTTGGGTTTGGTTATTTGGTTAGAATATTATTTAAAGTTAAGTCACACAATCTTTCTGGGTGTTACTCTCACGCTCTGCGCAGGCTCTTACTTTTGTTCCAACTATTTGTAACTTAATTTTGCCGCCGTCGCGATCCCTTTCTCAAATTCGCTTTTACTCTCACTCTCACTTAATTTTACTTAGGTTTAAAGGCTTTTCATAAAGGCCATTTAAGATTGAGCCTGAGGTTATTGTTAGGGGTATTTTGGGCAAAACAACAGCGATGGATAATGATGCATTAACTTCTTAAACAAATTTGGGAAAAAGTCCTTATGGGTCAATTGTCCTGACCTCTCAATGGAAAAGTTGAACCCTAGTTCAATCAATGGATTATTAATGGGAAATAACTTCTTTTCTGTATTGCATTAATTTTTTCATTACAAAGGCTTAAGCCTTATTAAGTCCAAGTAATTAAGTATGGTTGTGGTCAAATAACTCATATTGTCTGTTTCACAGATATCCAAGCTAACTGTGCACCATTGGCAGGAAAAAAAGTCAAAAGAAAAAGGTTGGAGTGGCATGCACATGCAATCAGTTAGTTACCACAATTTGTAGTTGAGGTCAATAATTAATGGAAAAAGAAAGTTGTTGTTGAGGTCTAAGACAACTTTGATATTTAAATTGTAGCTCAAATGAGTTATGTTTTGATAATCTTGAATGTTGATGAACAAACCTCCAACCGTTAAAGGTTTAGTTCAAGTAGTATTTTTATTTTATTTTTTATTTTTATTTTTTGGGTAGAGGTAAGATTAAGAGTTCGAGTTTCTAATTTGACGAAAAAAAAACTTAATTGATTGAGCTCGTTATAGTGATGACATTGTATCACCAGTTTATTAAATACTGTCATGTAGTGATAGGATTCACTATTATAAATCATTTTTATTTGTATGACAAGATACAATTAATTGATAAAACAGATAACGAAATATTAAAGGTGCAAGAAAAGATTACTCCACGTATTCATGAGCATTTGGGTGAAGGGAATTGGAAGGAAAGGAAATAAATTGAGAAAGGCGAATCTAATTTCTCATTTAAGTTTGAAAATTGGAGAGAAGGGAAATCTAAAAGAGAGAAGAATTACTCCTGAACAATGTTTTTGAAGTGGGAAAAAAAGGAGTAAAATGAATGTAATTATGGGTAAATTACACTTACTTTCCATTTAGTTAGAGTTTATTACACTTATCCTTGTATTTTGAATAATTATAATTATTTTATAATAATTACACATACACATAACAAATTACCATTGCCGTCGGTTTCATTAACGGTAAAAGATGGTGTGACAAATTTTTTTATTTTTTATTTATTTTTATTTTTTTCATATGACATATATTCTTCAGACTGTTGCGAAAATACTTTTGTCCAATGCTTTTTCTTTGAAAAGGTAATTATACCCCTAATTAAAGAAAATTAGGTTAATGAAAATGCAATTAGTTGAGGGTATAATTATCTTTCCGTATAACAAGCATTGAATAAAAGTGTTACACAACAATTTGGATTTATCATACATATGAAACTAAAAAAACTTGCCACATCAGTGTTCTCCATCTTTGACTATTAGTGAGACTGGTGGCAGGGATCAGTTTGTTACACACATGTAACTAGAAAGGAGGCAATTATAATTAATTATCCAAAACAGAGTAGAGAAAAGTTTAATAAACTCTATGGTAATTTGCACTCACACTCCCGAGGTTTATAATAAAGACATGTAGATACAACTTAGAGAGAGTGTGATCCAATCGCCTCTACCCCCCAATGTTTGAAAACTTGAACAACACTCCTAACCATGATAAATGTACGTAATTGCTCTTTGACTTTTGAATTAATCCATTTAAATCATTAAATTACAATATTAACATTTATAAGTCCTTTTAATTGACCAAAATGACCCTCAACGGAAAAAATAAAAATAAAAGCCAAATTTCACCATCACTACCATCTATAAGCACCCCTAAATTAGGACAATCATCGTCCACAACTAGATCCATAACCATCCCTAAATTAGGTCTCTTCCCCCAAATCCCTTGCAACCGTTGCCACCATCACCACCAAGAAATTTGTAGCTGTTGAACCCCCGGATATGGTCTCAGCATCGACGTCATTGTCGAAGACAAAATCGCTTTCGCCGTTGGACATCACATCGTCCTTCTTATTGGAGTCTCTAGTCCTCAACATCGCATCATCGAAAAAATCTAGCCTGGGATCGTGAAATATGTTCTTCTTTTCATCGAAGCCTCAACATTGCGTAGCCGTCGATAATTTCTTTAACCGTCACTGTTGACTGGTCTGGTGGTAGCCTTCGTCGGAGCTTCCACTAGTTGTCGCAGTCGTTTGGAAATCACGGTATGATCACAAGCTTTGGTTTGGTGGTGTTAGCGTTGATGTGTTGGTGGCGGTGATGTTGAAATCTGTATGTATATATATGTATATTTACGTGTGTATGTGTCTCTTTTTTTTTTCTTTTTCTTTTTTGTTAAGGGTCATTTTGGTGAATTAAAATAACTTCTAAAGGTTAATATTGTAATTTGATGATTTAAATGAGTCAATTTAGAAGTCAATTATGTATTCTTATCATGGTTGGGGTGGTGTTGTTCAAGTTTGCAAATTTAAGGCAATTGGATCAAATTCTCCCTAAATTATATTTACCTGTCTTTATTGCAAACTTGAGAGAGAATGAGTGCAAATTACCCTAAACTCTAATTAGAAGAGAGGTTAGTATAATTTACTCAATTATATATCGAGGTTTCTCTTGCAAAGTGAATTTCAATTTCTTGCAATCTATTTGCATGATAAATACTTATTTCTTTTAAATTCACTTCACCATCTTTCCTAATTTACTATAAAAAGTTAACACTATCATTTTCTTTTCTCTTTAACATATGATGTCAAATTATTTATTTTCCTTTATCCTATCCAAACGCGTTTTTATTATTACTCCGTACTTAGTTTTAATATGATCTAGGTCACATTATTTATATGTGAAAATAAATAGACTGAAACTTGTTAGAAATGTGTGTGAATGTAACTTGCCTGCAACGTGTCTATGTATATCACATTAGACTGCAACATGTGAATGTTAACTATATGTTGTTACAACGTGATTATAAAAAAGTTATATACGTTAAAATATAGCAGTTGTAGGCCAAACCTATGACGGTTGGGTGCTTGCAACAACGTATCCTTTACTAGAAAACTCGATCGGTCTTTTAACATATTTTATGGTGATGCTGTGTAGTCTGCATAATAGTTTGGCGGTGTATATGAACTAAAATGTCTACCACAACGTTTGCGAAGTGGTGTGTAGTGCAACCCATCAACCATTGCATCTAATGTTGAACAGGCAAGTTTACAAACACATGATATGACTATTAAAGAAGTAAAAGTCACTTAATCTGGAAAGGTCCGATGTATTAGTGAGGTGAAAAGACGCAACCAATCCAATAGATACCACATTTGTCTATGAAGAGACATGACCAATTCAAGAGACACCACATTTGTCTATAAATATCCCAAGTTGTTATCTTTTCAATTCGTTCATTTTTCCATTTTCTCTTCCTCTCTCAAGATGAACCCAACCCAAGTGGATGTGGGTTCAAGCCATATGGTCAAATGGTTCGAACAATTAAACCAAGCATCTATAGCAATGAGCCATATTGCAATTGGTCCGAGCCAAATGGTTCGAATCGAACCCAATTCATTTTTTATGTACGAGAGATACATTTTTTAGTCAG